TATTGATAGGGATAGGGATAGGGATAATGCGAGAAGTGTAATTACCTGGGGGGATAATTGACAAGGGGTAATTACCCTGGTGGGGGAGGGGGGTTAAATAAACCGGTGGGGAGAGTTGACTGTCGGGAAAGGTATTGTTATAGATCCACATATACATTTATTTATAATATACATATAAATAAATGTGTTTATCATATATATGCATATATATATATATATATATATATATATATATATATATATATATATATATATATATATGTTAAACACTTATACATTATATATATATATATATATATATATATATATATATATATATATATATATATATATATATATATATATATATATATATATATATATATATATATATATAGTATCGCAATACAAGGTGACACATTGTATGTGTGCAACAAAAAGTGTACATATTGTGTACATGAATCACCCACCTGGGACAATAGATAGAGGGAGATAATATTTCGCGATATTTGTCAAAGATAAGCCGCCCTTGTGCTGTTCGCGTGATACGCTCCTTAGTCACGCTCGCTTATTTGGCGCTGGGTGGGGGAGGTGGGGAGAGGGGGGGGGTCAAGATGCAGGTAAAGGCTGTCAAGGTAAAGTGTGAGGAACAGCACATGTGGATGGTAATTATTGCTATGTCAGTTGTTATGATATGTACAAAGGGATATATATATATATATATATATATATATATATATATATATATATATATATATATATATATATATATATATATATATATATATATATATATATATATATATATATATATATATTCCTTGTTTAAAATTTTAATTATCTGTACTGGGTCATCCATAAATGACGTTACGCTTCTTTTGACGACTTTACACTCCCCCCCCCCACCCCCCACCCCCCCTTCCTCCCCCACCGTTACAAATTGTCACAAAAAGCCTGACCTCCCCCCCCCCCCCCCCCAACACACCCACCCACCCCCCTTAAATGAAGTAACATCTCAGACAACAAACACCATCAAAATTTTAGTTGAACTTTTTGTTTTTACTTTTGTAAACGTGTTTGAAATCTAAGTGAATATCTGAATCTAAATGCTGATTTCTCCCTCTATTCGCCAAATAAAAAAAAAAACGTCCGCCTACAACACAAACAACTATGTTCCGTGTGTTTTTCACTGGTTTGTGTGTCTAAAAAGAAAAAACAGAAATCCATAGTCGAATTTGAAACATCATCTAATTGCCTACTTTATGAAGACGCCACGATATCATTTTTGAAATTTTCTCTACATTAGCAAACCTAATTAAAATCAACCGACTAAAATCCCTCCGCCATTCTTATTTCCCGTCATGCTTTCTACTTATGTTTGTGTTTTTACAACTGAAGTCGGACTTTCTCCTTATGTTTGTGTTTGTGTTTTTACACCCTAGGCCGGACTTTTTACTTATGTTTGTGTTTGTGTTTACGTTTTCAGCCCAGGCCGGACGAGGTACAAAAACGCGACAGACGGAGGGAGCAAAACAGAAGAGCCGCTCAAAAATTCCGCAAGAAGAAGAAAGAAAGGGGGGGAGCATCTCATTGAGGTTTGTAGCACCGTCCAGTTGTGTCCCCTCCCTTTTTCCACCATAGGGAATATTAAAATCCATCGAGTTATCCCCCTTTTCTTGAAAAAGAGAGCAGAAAACTGCTTCCAATAAAAATGGGGTTCAGATGCCTGAAGTGTTCATCTTGTTAACTGTTCTCATTTTTTGGGGGGGGAGAGTCTGACGCACCGTGTCCCTTCTTGGTCCATGACCCCTGGGGGGAGTGGCCAGGGCGGGGCATTCTCCTTAGTCGTCTGCGGGTCTTTAGTTAAAAATGCCATTCATCGCTGGGCAAAGAAAAATAAAAGATGCGTTCCCTTTGTGAGAGTACTGGAGGAAAACGATACGTTTTACTTGGTCGACGGTTGGTTGTTTTTATTTTAACCTTCAGCCAAACCCCGTAACTCTCGTGGCTAAGAAGAACTCTATAAGACAATGACATAGAGTTATCGTTCCTTTATTTCAGTACATTTAATGGGTTTTTGCTGTTACTCTTTCAACAAGGCAGGTGAAGTAGTTTATCTGTTTTTGTTACCTCGGCATTTAAAGGGATAGCGTGGTCAGTTGTATACCCAGTCGCTTAACTTTCCTTAACCTCAGTTTGGTAGCCTACCCACAAGGTTCCCTCAAAGCTGCGCGGTTTCGCGGCCGCGCAGTTTCTGACCTGCCGCACAGTCGTGTTGTAAAATACATATATCCTTGTATAAGACGTGTATAACACCGCGCACACAAAATAATACACGTTGCACATTAGCTTTTCACCCTTCTATTAAGCGTAGGCTACCTAGCAGAGCTGGGTTGACGCAGGGACATATGACGGGATCCGAACTCAAGACTTTTTAGCTAGCAGTCGTGCGCTCTACTATCCAACCACACCGTACCGTACTCATTAGGGCATATATATATATATATATATATATATATATATATATATATATATATTGTAAAATACCCAGTTAAACAACGGTCTGCATGACTGTATTGCTGTCAGAGACAGTAAGTGAAGTTAGGGGTAAGGATTAGGGTACTTTAGATTTGGTTATCACCGAGTCAACTAAGCTTCACCAGTACACAGCAGTACTAAAACAAAATACCCTATACTTTTTCCTAACCTTATCCCGTGAATATAGATGTTCAAGAAACAAAAAAGTGGCCAGACACCCCGCCCCTTGCACCGCCATTGGGTATGACGTCATCCGAGCCGTTTAAAAAAATTAATTAATCCAAGTTTCAAAGTAAAGAAAATGTTTAAAAGATTAAAAGGTCAGCTCGTCTACTAAACAATAAAAAAAATTACATTTAACTTTCCATATAGGCGCGTCTAAGGGGAAAGCACCCAAAATTCATACGATTTAATCTCCCATCGCAAAGGTCACATTTTTCCCCCCTCGCTAAATAAATTGTTTTTGGACACCGAAAAAAAAATAGTTCAGATTCGCTCCCCTTGGTGAGTCTGTTATGCTATGACTAACTTCCCTTTGTTAGGTTTAGGGGTGCAGGTTATGGGGTGGGGTGGGGGTGGGGGGAGTATTATTCTGACCTCAAACATTTCGATCGTCCCCATGGGCGCGAGGGCGCCGTGTTTACCTGTACTAAAGTCCCGTCACTCACTGATGAAGTCCAGACGAACTCTAGCAATTACCTCCCCTTTGGCTTACCCGCCCCTGTCCCGCACGCGAGTTACCTGTCTGTGAGTCACGTGGTTCCCGTTGTCAGGTACGCCATCTTAACCTTGTCATTACAGGAAAATAATAGTTGTCATTCAAAGAAGTAACTTCTCCGTTATGGGGTACCATTTTTATGTGTGTTCGAAGTCATATATTTTAGAATAGGGCAAAAGATCGAATTTCTTAAAAACGAGTATTGAACGTTGTATCCTATAAATTAGCAGACATTACGAAATCTGAAAAAAAGCGTAAAGCAAATAAAGCCAGTGAGAAAAAAATGACCATTTTTTAAACAGGTCTAAAAATAAATCTTTATTTAGATGTGTAAAAATGGACCGAATTTAGAGAGAAAAAGAACACCCAAAACACCAAAGAGAAATGCAATTTAATTTATTTTATTTATTCAATAATTGCAACAACAGTAGGCACGGTGGCCTTTTACACATTGGCCGTTTAAAAAAAAAAAAGAACAGCGTTATAACAGCATTGTGATAAAAAGCAATTGAGTAGTAAAGACATAGCAGTAACAGAGCATTAAAAAAAATTGGAATAAAAAAATAATATTACAAAGTTATAATACAAAGAGTTAGAATAAGAATATACTTGGCGAATTAGAAATATTGCAACGAGTCAGTTAAGAAGGTCATTAAATAATTGTTTTTTTAGTTTAGATTTGAATAAATTTTCTAATCTAGATAGTTTTATTTTATTAGGAAGATTGTTCCACAAATTAGAACCAGAGTAGGCAAAGCTATGTTTTTTTGAAAAACCCAAATAATGACTTGGTTTTGAAAAAAAAAACTTGCTTGGGGGGGGGGGGACTAACGGAGGATCTCAAATTCTGGAGAATGGTAGGACGTTACACTATTGCAGACGTCAAACCATAACAGAGACACGACATAGATTCCGTAATAGCGTCTACCGTAGTCTACCCGCTAGACCAATACTCACCCCAAAGACCAGAAACCTGTGTGCAAAATATTCGAGCCTTGTGCTCATAAATTATGCATTACAAATTTATTTGTAGATTTACTTTACTACATTACTACATTACTATGACTGAAGAACATAAAGCAATCTAATGCCTTCATGACTAGTGGGAAATAACTCCCCTCAAGAAAAAAAAAACCCTTCATGTATATATAAAAAAAAAATTAGAACCCCCCCCCCCCCAGTTTACCCCGTTCATTGTCTTTGTGTAATAAGGACCACCCACGAAGCACCTTTCAACTAGCACCTTCTCGTGTTCAGACAATTTGTCTTCGCCGGTTAAAAAAATAATAACAATAAATAAAACAGCTTTATTGTTAACTTTTTTCGGTGCGCAAGTGTAACTAAACTTTCCTACAGTTCAGACAATTTGTAGTTGAATGTTATAATTCCGGTTTTATCGTACACTGTCTTGCTTATTCTATACACGCGCATGCAATTAATCGACACTTCCGTTAAACAATTTGACTTGGTAGCGGCAGATAACAGGAAGTGACGTATCGGGCTATCCCTGACCTTGGTTCTAAGAGGATCATGACGCATGCGCCGTGTAGCGCCCGTGAGATGTTATCACGCCCGTTGTTGTTAATTACCTGCCGTTTTATTGCAGGTAGTGGCGGTGAGGGGGACAGGTGGATATACAGATGGGAACAGTGAATCAGTGGCGAAGCCATGGGAGGTGCGGAGGGGGATGGGGCGGCCACCCCAGGAAGGGGGTCCTAAAGGGGGTAGAAAAATAAATTGAAAAAAGCGCCTTACTGAATAATAAATAATCCAAGTTAAGATCGACTTCCTTAAAAAGCTGCGCGTTTGCGTGGTCGTGTAGTGATTTTTTTTTTTTAAATACGTATTAATATCATTGTATAAGACTTTTAGAACACAGCACACATAAAATACACATTGCACGCTAGCATTTTCCCTTTAGAATTCAGGGGTCTCCAAACTTTTCAGTCCGAGGGCCGCATTAAATATCAAATTTCAGTTCGGGGGCCAGTTTCTTCCAGGCATGTCTTTGATTTTTCTGGGCAAAGTTCCTCAGCCATCACCAGCAAACTGTTTTTCCGTGGACAAAAAGATCTCCGCGGGCCGGATGAGAGGACCCCTGCTTTAGATGGAAGGTTGATTAAGATACACAGCTGTAAAAGGTCACTTAATTAAATTCCACATCAACTGTATACATAAAGATGTGACTGAAACATAATGATCTCAAGCGTATGTAGTTTCTGACGCTACTTGACGATTTGATTTAATTCTCAAAATGGTGGAGTCACTGTAAGGGTTAACATAGGTATCGATTACTAAATCTAAATATATTATATATACGCAAACATACATATATATATATATATATATATATATATATATATATATATATATATATATATATATATATATATATATATGGGTGAGCGTTCACCGCGAAACGCCAGATGGGGCTGCTACGCCTTTGTCACGAGTGAGGTAAGGAGGAGGTACAGGTGTATATACAGATGGGATCAGGTCAATAAACCAATCTACCTGGGGTGGGTTTTGTCTGAGGCGTGTCAAGGTTTATCGTTAGATCCATGCATTAAAAAACGTGTTTTAAAACTATTTTATAAGTGAATGAGGGGAGATGACTTGAGTGGCAGAGCACTTGACTGCTAAGTCAGAAAGTATCAAGTTTGGATTATGTTTTTGACTCCACGCAGCCTAACATAGCTGACTTGAGTTTGGAAAACATTAAGTGACTGGACATACCACTCACCACACTCTTATGTGCCAAAGTTCCAGAAAGAGATGAAGTATATTTCATATAACCTGTAATCTGTCAATGGAATGGCGTGGTGGGGGAGGTAGAGCTTACGACTGTTGCCCAAAAGTCTCGAGTTTGAATCCCGGGCGTTAGTCTCGAAATTCTGATTGGAATCGTATTTACATTAGAGAAAGTGAAAGTGGTTTGGCATAGTGCTTACCACAATATCCCTTTATTGGCCAATTTTTAAAAAAAAATTAGTTGAAATAACACGTTTATTGAAGTAATCTTAATTTTAAGTTAATTCGTATTTTTAAAAACTTTTTACTTTAAAAAAAAAGCAATTCGTCAAAAGCCTTTATCAAATTTTATCTAATTCATCCTATTTTTCGTGTTGTTTATTTTAAGACTGTGTTCTTGTCCGATGATTTGTTAACCTTCTATTTCTCTGTGAACGAACGCCCCCCCTCCCCCTCCTTGTAGCTCCGTGCTGACCAGTCCACTCTGTTGTTGCAGGAAACACAGAGGCTCGAGTGCCACAACACCACGCTGAGGTCGGAGATCAAACAACTGCACGAGGAGCGCGAGCAACTCACGCGCATCATCCGGAGCCACGCCAGCGTCTGTCCTCTGACCCCGCGTCAGAGCCCTCTAACGGTCATCCGGGAGAGCCCCCTACCCATCCGGGAGTCGCCTCTCACCTTACCTTTAAGTTCCGCATCCCTTCTCGCCCGGAGCCCCGTTATGGGGAAAAGCCCCGTCGTGGTTCAGAGCCCTGTTTTGCTGGTCCCTCCAACACGGGAGAGCCCGGTGCCCTTGCTCATCATCAACCCAACAAGAGAGAGCCCAATCCCAGCCCGGGTCATCCCCAGCAGCCCTATCCCAATGTCAAGCCGACCAAGGAAAAGCCCAGTCTCCATGCTACGCGTCAACCCGTCTCCCATCCTCGGGGAAAGACTTGGAGACAAAAGCCCCATCCCGTTCGGATCTCCCCCCAAACAAAGCAAACACTCCATCCCGCCTAGGCTCAACCTCGCGGGACCCAAACCCGTGGTCCCCATCCTCCCCAAACCGGCAGCTCACAGCAGTCCCTCGCCTAAAACCCCCTTGAGCATGATCACCAGCCCTCTCCCCACCGCCCCTAGTCCCGTATCCGTCGGCGGCGGGCGAACCTCCCACATGAGCCCTGTCTTCTTCAGCGAGGGCTGCTTCACCCCCTCCCGCGGGCGCCACATCAACCCCAGCCCCGTCTCCATCACAGACAGCTCCTGCAGCTCCACCCCCGCCCGCATCACGCAGCAGAGCCCCGTCTTCTTCGCTGACCGGGCGCCCAGCGCCACCCTCCACGGGCCGCACTTCCTCCAACCGCTATCGGCTTCGTCCACGTCGTCGACTTCATCTCTAGCCTCTCTGTTGAGAATCGAAAGTCCTTTATCCGTTCTCAGCAACAGCAGCGGCGTCTCCACCGGAAGCAGCGTCTTCAACAGCAACCCTCAAGGAACCACCCACCCTCAGGGAACTAACACCTCTCAAGGAACCAGCAACGAAAGCAATAACTTCTTAGAGAGCTCAACCAAACCTAGCAACAACAGCAGCTCGAAAAATAACAACAACAATAACAGAAACTGTAACAACAACAACGCCAACCTCGAGAATATCTTCGAAAGTTCAGAAAACTTCAGCGGGAAACCTTCCGGGTTTAGCTCTCAACAAAACTCAAAGTCCAACCAAGAAGACAATGATTTGTGTTTAGAAGACATTGAACGAAGCGCCACCGGCTATGGCGGAAGGGACGATCTCATAGACTTCATCGATATCCAAGCGCTGCTGGAACTAGGCGGCGACCAGAACTCGGCTCAAAGAGACAGCAACACTGGAGCGATGAATCCCGGAGACTCCAAGAACAGGTTCGATTCCAACAGCGGCATCGAAGACCCGATGGGGAGTTCCAGAGGCGAGCAGAATATGGAGACGGACGAGCCGCTTGAGGACGCGGAGATGAAGTGCAGTGAAGCGGAACGTGTTGAAGACATGTCCAGGCAGGATCAGATCCGGGTCATAACAAGCATCGCTCACACTATGCTGGCCTTGGCTCAGGGGAAGGTGTTATCTCAAGGTCAGGCTTTCGCTCAGGGTCAACCGTTGGGTTTTGGCCAGTCTTCTTCGGCTCAGAACCAGATAGCACAGGGTCAATCTATGGCTCAGAGCCATCTGGCTCAGAAGCAGTCTTTATCTCAGAATTTGGTTCAGGGCCAGAATTTAGCTCAAGGTCAGAATTTGGCTCAAGGTCACAATTTGGCTCAAGGTCAGAATTTGGTTCAGGGTCAGAATTCGTCTCAGGGTCAAAGTTTGGCTCAGGGCCAAAATATGGCTCAGGTTCAGAATATGGCCCAGGGCCAGAATATGGCTCAGGGCCACACCTTATCTCAGAGCCAGGTTTTGGCTCATTTCTTGACTCAGGATCAACCAAGCGTAACGCCCACTCAACCCGCCGCGCCCAGCATACCTCAGCACCCCACCAGCACCTTCACCCCACGTGACCACGTGACCGTCGCTCAACCCCAGACCAACCCCGGCTTAACCCTCAACCCCCACGACCTGACCGCCGCCCTCGCCCAGGCTCAGAACACCCCCGGGCTTCTCCAGGACCAAAACCTGCAGGCCGTCGTCCATGTCCACAACTTACTGACCAGCATCCAGCGTCTCCATAGCGACGCCCTGGGTCTCCCCGCCACTCTCCAGCGTCACAATGACCCTCAACTTCACAACGACCTTCAGAACTCTGACCCTTTGCACGGCCTTCACCCTAACAGCCAGGTCGAGGCCCTGCTCAGCTGTTTCACGGGCCTCACTGCTCAGACTTCAAGCATGCTAAACAACGTACAACAAGGTCAAGGCCTGCATTCAAATCTTCAAGGTCAAATTATCCAATCAAATGCTAGGGGTCAAAATATTGAAACGAGCACCCAGGGCCAGAATATACAGACCAGTTTTCAAGCGCAGAACAATCAGATCAACACCAACCAAAACGCCATTGGTAGTTTTCAAGGTCATATTTTACTTAACGATCAGAACTCTGTGCAAGGTCAAGGACAGCATTGTAACGCATCCGGCCATGACCTTCAGACGAGTAATCAAGACCCGAATATGCTGAACGCTTTTCAAAATCAGAGAGTGCAAGGTCACGCGCAGTGCCAGAATTCTCAGAGCGGTTCTCAAACTCTGCAGAACTTTCTACACGAGAAGAGCATGCAGATGAATGTGGAGGGCGTGTTCGAGAACCTGCAGGTCAACGGTCAAGGTCAGGGCGGGGTCAATGACGCCTCCGGTCAGACTGGGGTTGCTAAAGATGAGAATGTCCCTACTGTATTGACGGCTGATAACTGTAGGCTAGTCTCGCACGGTGGGGGGATTTTTACTCTTCAGAGCTGTCAGTCTCTTCTAGCAGGGGGTGTCCTCAACACCTCTATGTCTGGTGTACAGAACACCTCTAGTGTCCTGAACACCTCTATGTCTGGTGTCCAAAACACCTCTCAGACAATGCTTGGTGTTCAAAACACCTCCCAGTCTATGTCAGGTATCCAAAACACCAGTCAGACAATGCTTGGTGTCCAAAACACCTCCCAGTCTATGTCAGGTATCCAAAACACCCCTCAGACTATGACAGGCAGCAGTATCCCGAACACCTGTCAGCCCACGCCCGCGGGCGGTGTCCAGAACGCCAGTCACTGCCTGTCCACGGGCACCACCTGCGACCAACCGTTTGGCAGTTTTGAGCCGATAGCACCCAGTTCCAACCAAAACCACAACACGATGAAAGACAACGACAACGACGTTTTCTTAAGCGGCTTATCACAACACCAGGAGAGGATCAACGGTCAAAATGACCAAATGGGAAGGTTAAATTGTCGAAATGACCAACAGGGTAGGCTGAACAGTCTAAATGACCAACAGGGAAGACTAAATAGTCTAAATGACCAACAGGGTAGGCTAAATAGTCTAAATGACCAACAAATGAGGATAAATGGTCTAATTGACCAACAAACGAGAATCAACGGTCAGAATAAACACTTTGGAAGATTAAATGGTCTAAATGACCAAGACGGAAGACAAAGTGGTCAAAATGACCAAAAAGGCAGGCATAACGGTCAAAACGACCAACAAGGAAGACCAAACGGTCAAAACGACCTAGGAAGGGTTAATGGTCAAAACGACCAAGGAAGAATTAACTGTCAAAACGACCAAGGAAGAATTAACTGTCAAAACGACCAAGGAAAACCTAACGGTCAAAACGACCAAGGAAGACCTATCGGTCAAAACGACCAAGTTAGAGTAAACGGTCAAAACGACCACCAAAGAAGACTGAACGACCAACAGGACCGTCTCAACGACCAGCAAGAGAGCGCGTTCAGGGGCATGACCGGGGACCACGATCTCGCCGCGCTGCGAGAGTTCACGAGATTCCAGCAAGAAAAAAACCAGTCGAGGCTCGCTTCCAGCCATAGCAGCCTCCGTCAGCTGCTCAACTCCCCGCTCTCGTTGGACGCCCCCCGCGCCCCTCTGAAGGAGGAAAAAGACACCCGGAAATCCCACAACGACGATATCCTAGAACGCGGGACTTGCCTCGGGAAAGGATTTAACCACATTCAAAGCGATCTCGCGGACAGTAACGATAACTCTGATACAGATTTTCTACAGCTTCAGAGTTCTTTTTCTTTGGACATGCTCATGGCAACACACGTGGGCAACGCGGAAGGTATTTTTTCTCAGGCGAACAACCAGTATACATAAAGTCATCGTTACTCATTGACCTTTGAACTGCTGTTCATTTGCATGAATTTTTAAAATTTCATATATCTGACGAAGCTTTGGCTTGATTTATAATTCAAACAAAAATAATTTTTTTCTTAAAAAAAAAATTTGACAATTTCAAATTTGTTTAAAATTTGAATACATAGACTAGTGTGGTTCATTCGCACAAAAACTATTGAAGGTTGTTTTTTTTTTTTACAATTTGTGTGCGTGATTCTTGTGTAGCGCAGCCCTTCCCTCCTTTGTGTACTCACCCAATGCCCCCCCCCCCATACACACAAACATGCATGTACTAAACTCAGGTTGCTGTTGTTGTTTTTTTTTTTTACATAATTTTTATATCATTGTATGATCTAAACTATTTGAACAATTTTTTTTAAATATTGCTGTGACCCAACCTATTTGGACAATTTTTTTAATATTGTTGTGAATTAGTGCTATTTGGACAGCTTTATTGTAATGTTTTATGATCCAGGCTATTTTGACAACTTTTATTTTTAATGTTATTTGAGCCAAACTATTTTAACAACTTTTTTTTTACTATGTACCTCTCACGTGAGAGCTAATTGTGTAGCTGTGTGTCACCATTATGTCATGATTATGTGTCACCATTTTGTCTCACCAACGCATGGACTTTTGACCCCAGCTCATTTTGACCCATTAAAATTTTTTTAAAGGATGTTGACACTGCCAGAGGCGTAGCGACCCTTCCCGGCGCCCGGGGACAAACTTTTCGATTTGCACCCCCCCTCGAGATTTCGATTTGCACCCCCCCCCCCCTCAAACTTCCGATTTGCACCCCCCCCCCCTCGAGATTTCGATTTGCACCCCCCTCAAACTTCCGATTTGCACCCCCCCCCTCGAGATTTCGATTTGCACCCCCCCTCAAACTTTCAATTTTCGCCCCCCTCAACCTTTCAACTTATTTTTCCAACCCATTTTGGCGCCCCCTAAGCTCGGCGCCCGGGGACATATGTCCGCCCCCCCCCCCTCGCTACGCTACTGGACACTGCTATGGCGTCGAAAAAAATGATGTTCTGTACAAACGTATAACGACATGTACGCAAAGGCATGTAGGGGACTGTGTACATATGCTCATGTGTACGTGATATAAAGTGACATTTTGTAAATGGCAGGTTGAAATGGCATGTGTACAAACGATAAACTGATGATACACTTGGAATTGTACGCGTTTATCATGTCTAACAAATGCCATGTACACAAATGAATTGTGTACGATTTCCTTCAGGTTTCCAGTATTCTAAAGTGTACCAAAGTGTGTGGATTGTGTACGTACGTACACTTGTAAAATGTAAATGGACTTACCAAATTTATTACCTGAGTCTGTAAGCTACGTTGAATTATTAGCGCAGATTTCGCCAAACGCTAAATTTTATGTTACATTTTTTTTTACATTCGTATTGTTTTTGAACGATTATTCTGCTTAGCAAGATGATTTATACCTTTCCAATTTACGTTTTTTTTACAGTGGGTCTTGTCTGGCGTAGGGGTTAAACCTGGAGTTTAACTGCAAATAGATCTGGTTAAACCAAGGTGCAGGGATAAGCCTCACACCACGGCTTCTAATTCCATTCACGTTTTATTATCGCTGCTAAGTAACGTCTAGAGATTAACAATAGTTTTTTTTTTAAACTACGTCTTATTGACACTGTGGCGTAACTAATGGGTGTGAAGGACCGTGGGGGGCGGT